AGGGACAGAGGGACAGGGACAGAGGGACAGGGACAGGGACAGGGACAGGGACAGGGACAGAGGGACAGGGACAGGAACAGAGGGACAGGAACAGAGGGACAGGGACAGGGACAGGAACAGAGGGACAGGGACAGGGACAGAGGGACAGGGACAGAGGGACAGGGACAGGAATACAGGGACAGGGACTGAGGGACAGAGAGACAGAGGGACAGGGACAGAGGGACAGGAACAGAGGGACAAGGACAGAGGGACAGGGACAGAGGCGCAGGGACAGAGGGACAGGGACAGAGGGACAGGAACAGAGGGACAGGGACAGGCTGGGCTGGGACAGAGGGACAGGGACAGGGACAGGGACAGGAACAGAGGGACAGGAACAGAGGGACAGGGACAGGGACAGAGGGACAGGAACAGTGGGACAAGGACAGAGGGACAGGGACAGGCTGGGCTGGGACAAGGAGGTGACTGTGCCCTGTTCGGGGCTCCCGGAGGGGTTTTAGGCAGAGGTGAGCCCTGTGGGATGGCGGGATCTGAATCCCAGCGGGATTTCTGTCACTGCTTCTGGGCAGCTGTGGGGCATTTYCATCTTCATCCGGGAATGGGAAGGAATCACAGCTTCTCYCTGCTCTTTCTGCTTCCATGTCTGCGTGGATCCCAAATCCTGTGACGTGCCTCTTGTCCTCTCAGGACTGTCATTTGTGCCAGTAATTTCTTCCAGTAATTTGCACCTTTAGTGAACTCCAGCTTTGCTCCAGCAAATGGAACAGAGAGCAGAATTCAGAATTTCACCCTGGCACCACCCGCACTGTCCTGGCAGCACACAAACAGCAAACAGCTGACCCCAGGAGGATTTCTTTCCCTCTGCAGAGGTGACATGTCCTCGGCCACCAAACATCGCCAACGGGCAGCACAGTGGGCACTCCTCGGACAAATTCTCGGTGGGAGTGACCGTGACCTACAGCTGCAAGGAGGGCTACGAGCGGCTCGGGAACGCGTCCATCACCTGCACGGACAGCGGCGTGTGGAGCCGGCCCCTGCCCCGCTGTCACGGTGTGTGGGGTGGCACGAAGGGCGCTGGGTGTCCTGTGGGGTCACAGCTCACGGYAGAGGGGATGGGGATGGSTCTGKTCCGTGCGGTGAAGGGTAAAGGACGCTGYCMCTGTTCCCACAGCAATCGGCTGCAGCACCCCCGAGGTGCAGAACGGGGAGGTTTACAGCCTGCAGAGCAGCCACAGAGCTGGAGACACGCTGTACTTCGGCTGTCACCCTGGCTATGCGGCACAGGACACCAACAGGGCTCGCTGCCAGCCCGGGGGCACCTGGGACCCGCCGGTGCTCGTGTGCCAGAGGGGTGAGTGCGGCTGCAGGCGGGGACAGGGGGGCAGCAGGGATTGAACCATCAGTGCAGCATCACTGGCTGCTTTCCCCTTCCTCCCTTAACTCAATTCCCTCACCGAGTYAACATTCCCCATCTCCCTCCCGCAGTCCGACCGTGCCCGATGCCCCCGGASGTCSCCAASGGGAATCACRACGGGCGGGACAAAGCGTTTTTTAMGGCTGGGATGTCTGTGCGTTACACMTGCAACCCCGGCTATTTCCTGGTTGGAAATCCCGCTGTGTCCTGCRGAGTATCRGGGAAYTGGAGCCAGCCCGGCCCTCGCTGTGAAGGTGAGTCTGGGCTCTGTACCCTCTCGGTGTGGTTTTGAGCACAGGGACAYCCTCAGCAGTGCAAAMAGACCCCCAAAAGGGTCAATCCCATATCAGTTTTCTCATGGCATCAGTTCATGTGAAGCCCTTTCACAGTGAAGCTGCAGCTGGCCAGGTTTGGATTTACATCACCCCGATTTTGTTGCTGCAATTTTAACAGCCTGTGGTTTTTTTTTGTTTTCCTTTGTTCCAACTCCTCCTGCCCACCCCCATTTCCAGTGACCGTCTGCATCATTCCAACCATACCCAACGCCTGGCAAGTTGGTGGCCATGGACCTCTCTCTGCACCTGGGCAAACGGTGACGTTTCAGTGCCACGATGGTTTCAGCCTGCAGGGCAGTGCCACAGTGTCCTGCCAGGAGGATGGCAGCTGGCAGCCCCCTGCTCCTGTGTGTGACAGATCMCTGCATCCCCAGAACTCCACAAACAGGGCCCCAGGTAAACCATGACATCGCTTCCTTTAGCTACACTGYTATTTTATGTCCCTAACCCTGTTTAAACGATGTTGTTAAACCCTGTGAGTAGAAGATTTAAGTCTACCCTGGGAATAAGRACCTAATCCTCTGCAATCCCTTGGGAAAATCTGTTTATTAATGGCTATATTAATTAAAATCAACATTTTTGCAAGGCAAATCAAACCCCTTTCCTCCTAACAGAGCTCTTTGTGTGCTTGGCCCTGACGTCCCTGSCCTGCCTGGTTCTCACCTCTCTTTTCTCTCTCAATAGGTGCTTGTGATGCTCCCACAAGGTTACACTTTGCTGAGCTAAATGAGGAGCATAGCAATGCCCTTGATTTTTCTGTCGGGAAGACTGTGCAATACACTTGCCACCCTGGATATGCTAAAGTGCCAGGAATGTCACCTACWATTACCTGCCTTGAGAGCCAAGTGTGGTCAGAAGCTCTAGAGTTCTGTAAAAGTGAATAGCTCCTTGATTTGACAGGAGGAATTAGGTCCCAGGTTCTGTCCACGCTGCCAAAAGCTYGATGTTATCCTGAATGTGTGACTAGTAAAGCCATGTAACCCCTTTGCAATTAGAAAAAAGGGTTTCACTGTGCTGGGGGTGACTGCGAGGGTGGGGAGGTGGCTGGAGGAAGAATTGTGTTTGTTGTGCTGTGGTGCAGAGAGATAGAGCCTGAAAAAGGGTGCTTTGCTTCCCCAGGGAAACAGTGCAGCCACCCCGGGGAGCCTGTGAATGGGAGGATTGTTTCCYTGCCAGATCTCCTGTTGGGGTCCAMAGTGGTCTATGGCTGTGAGGAAGGGTAAGTTCTGCTCCTGATGGGAGTTAAGTGAGTGTCCCCTTCTCTTCCTCCTGTTCATTCACCCCCAGTGAATGGCTCTGTACCTTCAGAGCACAGAGGGTGCTCACTATCCCATCCATACATACCAATACTGTGAGAGGAGATTCGAATATATATTTTATATATTGAAAGTATTGAATGGGGGCAGGAAATTCCTCTTCAGGGCCACAGCTGAGGTGGCTGGGAGGAGCAACAACCCCAACTGGAATGGTTTGGGATGGATAACCAATCCTTTCACCACCAGGCACAGGTTAATTGGGCAGCCCAGCCGACGCTGTGAGGTTTTTGGGGGACGTGTGGCGTGGAGYGGTGACATTCCCCTCTGCCAGCGTAAGTAGCTCACGGCTCCGGGGCTTTGTGTGGTTCTGGGAAATGTTTTCCAGCAGAGATTGCAACATCTTTCCAATCAAAGCATTCACAGGCAATTTCTCTGCGCTGCGGGCAGGAAAATGATCAGGTTTGGAAGTCATTAGAAAGCAGCCTGGGAAAAGGTACAAGATCCCAAAGCTTAATGGATTATGGGAAAAAACATCCCAGCTGGAGCTTTTCCAGTGCTTGAGCATCCTCTGCTGCTGGACAGAACTGCAGCAGAGGAAGGGAAAACACGTTCAGCTCAGGGGATGTTTTGTCAGAAACACAGAGACCAAGGGTCAGTCCTAAGGAGAGACAGGGCCAGCATGGAATCCCCAAATCCCAAATTCTGGGTTTGCTCCTCCTCTCCAAGCACTGGTGTGTGCCCAAGAGCTGCTGTGYTGCTCCTCTGCAATTCCACCTCTGCTGGTTGAGCAGTGCTGCTGATTAGGGCACAGTTTAATAAGAAGAATGAAAACATTTCCTGGCACATTCTGGGTTTTAAAGCATCTCCCAGATCCTCCAGGTAGGTGTGAAACACAGGTGACACGCAGACTGTGCCTGTTCCATGTCCTGGCACCAGGATTTTACACAAGGGATGCCAATAAGCATTTGCTTTCTGATTTCTTAAACAGTAAAAAGCACAAAAAACACGGAGGTGTTTCCTCCACAGAGGTTTGATTCGTGCCCTGCTTTCCAGCGGGGTGGGATCTTGCTGCCAACAAGATCTCACTTCATTCCACCTCTAGAACRAGTTTTTACAGCCCACAGACTGCGGTATTTACGGTGCTTTGGTGCTGTTGTTGATTTGAGCATCCTTGTGCCGCTCTGCAGGAATCCCRTGCATGCCTCCCCCGGACATTCCCAATGGGAAGCACACGGGCGGGCTGCTGGACGAGTTCCACTACGGCACATCCGTCACCTACAGCTGCAACCCCGGCTTTCCTCTGCACGGAGAGCCCTCCATCCACTGCACCACCCGGGATGGCACCAGCGGAGTGTGGAGCGAGCCCCTGCCGGCCTGCGGAGGTGCGGGTCCCCGCGGGGACAGGGCTGATGTCCCCTCCTCCTCCTGCTGCTGCTTCCTTTTGGGAAAGATTGGCACATTCCAGACWGTTGGAATTCTTGCCACGGGATTTTCAAGGGCTGAGGAGCAGCTGAGGACAGGCAGAATTGGGGAGGCTGGAGGGCCATGGTGCTGTCCCGTTATCCCCCTCCCCTTTCCGGTGGATTGCCCCGCTGTCCCCTCCAATTTCCCCCTGGATTTCCCCGCTATCCCTCTCCCCTTTCCCCTTGGATTTCCCCGTTATCCCCCTCCTCTTTCCCCCTGGATTTCCCCGCTATCCCTCTCCCCTTTCCCCTTGGATTTCCCCGTTATCCCACTCTCCTTTCCCCTTGGATTGCCCCGCTAAACCCCTCCAATTTCCCCTTGGATTGCCCCGCTATCCCCCCCAATTTCCCCCTGCATTTCCCCGCTATGCCTCTCCCATTTCCTCCTGGATTTCCCCGCTATCCCACTCCCCTTTCACCTTAGATTTCCCCGCTATCCCCTCCAATTTCCCCTTGAATTTCCCCGTTATCCCCTCCCCTTTCCCCCTGGTTTTCCCCGTTATCCCCCTCCCCTTTCCTCTTGCATTTCCCCGCTATCCCCTCCAATTTCCCCCTGGATGTCCCCGTTATCCCTCTCCCCTTCCCCCCTGGATTTCCCCGTTATCCCTCTCCCCTTTCCCCTTGGATTTCCCCGCTATCCCCTCCAATTTCCCCCTGGATTTCCCTGCTATCCCTCTCCCCTTTCCCCCTTGGATTTCCCCGCTATCCCTTTCCCCTTTCCCCTTGCATTTCCCCGCTATCCCCCTCCCCTTTCCCCTTGCATTTCCCCGCTATCCTCCTCCCCTTTCCCCTTAGATTTCCCCTCTATCCCTCTCCCCTTTCCTCCTGGATCTCTCCCCAGATATTTGTTATCGCTGGATGCAAGCACATCATCTATATGAAAACAATTTTCAGGCTTCTGTCTWAAAATTTCAATCCTTGGCGGCTTCTCAGCTCTGCCTAAGAGCCTGTTTTGAGCACCTGCACCTTTTTTATTTATTTAATTTTTTTTTTCAGTGGCGAGCTGTCCCGTCCCACAGATCCAGAACGGGAGGATCGTGGCTCCCAGGTCTGCGTACTCACACAGCGACACGGTGACCTTTGAGTGTGACCCGGGCTATGCCATGCGTGGCCACAGAGAGATCCAGTGCCAACCGAGCGACACATGGCATCCCCCTGTGCCAGTCTGCGAGCAGGGCAAGTGTCCCAACAGGGCGTTAAGCTCTCCCTGYTTTCCCAAATCCGCATTTTCTCGGCTCTTTAACAGCTGGGCTGGTTTTCTGTCCCGCAGCTGGTTGCAGAGCCCCTGCCAGGCTGGGCTTTGCSGAGCTGAAGGAGCCCTACAGGAACCGGACGCTGTTCCCCGAGGGCACCAGGGTGGAATACGAGTGCCAGCCCGGYTACACCCAACTCCCGGGGATGTCACCAAGCATCACCTGCCTCAGGAACCAGACGTGGTCTGCAGCCCTGGAGTTCTGTCAAAGTACGTTCTACAAGTGCTGAAAAACCTCAGATGTCAGGCTGGGCTGGTTTTCCCTGKTTTTGCAGCTTTGTGGGCTGCTTTCCCTGCTCTCTGCGGTGACATCCCTGGCTGGGGTGGCAGCAGAGGCTAAGGGCTAACAGAGGCTGCCATCCTTTCCAGAAATGCAGTGCCCCAGCCCAGAGAACCCAGCGAATGGCAGAGCTGTTGTCCTGACAGATCTCCTCTTCCAGTCCAAAATTAATTACACTTGTGACAAAGGGTGAGTCTCGCCCCAGGTCAATTCAGCTGCCAGGTGAGAGTGAAGCAGATTTTCAGTTTGGCACAACCCACAACCCAGTTCCCAAATCAGAACTCTTGGCTGCCACTCTCAAGGGTTGTAATGACATCTCAAGTCTCTCACTGTTAAATTCATGAATCTTTCTGTGTGGTGCAGGTACAAGTTAGTTGGAGGCTCCCAGAGAACTTGTGAGGTCTCTGGCACCCGTGTCTTGTGGAGTGGGGATCCTCCTGTCTGCCAGCGTAAGTAGGACACCACAACAGCCCCTTGGCAATGCTTTGTGAGATAAAGTGGAACTTCTTTCAAGCCAAAGGTTTCATGGCAAAAGATTTCTCAAGCCACTGAATGTTTAAAATCTTTCCTTTTCCTTTTCATTTTGTCGTGGATGCTTCTGAAAAATTTTTGAATGGTTTTTTATTTATGCTGGTCCAAACTGGGAAGAAACAGCAATATTTTAAACTCCCCATTAGTGGGTAAGTATTTCTCGCTGGACATGTGGGGAAATGATGTGGCCAGTCCTTCTCTCTGTGTCACCAGTGGTTATGGTAAGGCAGGTAAGAATTGTTCCAAGGAAGTGACTCACAGGAGGACACAGGTTTCCCTCCCCACGTGCGAATTTTTCCATGCAGAGTTTGTTCCTAGATAATTTGGATCATTATAAATTATCATTGGATAATTTGAGTGTGTGCCCTGAGCAGTGCTGATTATCCCTTTGTGCTGCCCACAGGCATCGTCTGTGCCRCCCCTCCGGCCATCCCCAATGGGACACACAGCGGCAGCTCCAGGGACACTTTCTCCTACGGGGACATGGTCACCTACAGCTGTGAGCCAGGACACTCCCTGGTGGGAGAGACCTCCCTGTCCTGCAGCTCTGCAGATGGAGAGCACGGCTCGTGGAGTGGGACAGTGCCACGGTGCCAAGGTACCAGCCACAGAGAGCTCCTGGTGGCACTGGCAGAGGGGACAGCCACAGAGAGCTGCGGGTGGCACTGGCAGAGGGGACAGCCACAGAGAGCTCCGGGTGGCACTGGCAGAGGGG